CAGAGACCGATATCGATATTATCGATAAATTTGACCTCGTCACAGCACTAGTTGAGGACATTGCTTGGTCGGAATCGAGAAGACATAACAAACAATGCCTATTAACAAACGTGTATCATCTTCGGCTTTACTTTGTGAAGCAGTTTGTCAACAATTCTGGATCAACAATAGAAAAAGGTCCATCAGCATTTGTAAACAAACCGTTACAAAGCCCATTCCTCACAAATCGAAGGCCACCCACACAAAGCAACACCATCATCGTGTAGGTGTAGGTGTTTCCTTATCCGATGATGGTGTTGGTTTGCGTGGGTAGCCATCGCTTTATGAGTAAAGGGCTTTGGAACGGTTTGTTTACAAATGCTGATTGGTCCTTTTCTATTGTTGATCCAGAATTTACTCGTTTCCTTCTAGCAGCCCGAGCGAGCTATATTTCAAAGGCATTTTGTCATGAAAACAAGGAAGAAGATTATGTCATTATTGCTTTCCATTTCTGACAAAGCGTTATCGTTCGGCTCGTTGATGGCTTGTCATTTTGTCATTTGAAGATATTTTTGTTTTGGAGATTCTTATAGCGTAATCCAACAAACCACCGGCCACCCGTGACGCTGTTGTCGTAGCGGTGATAAAAATGTAAAACATCTATCAAACGTGACTCACATAAGATGTTTCACTTTTTAGATTTGAAATTTGCCTTGTTTTGTACGTTTTTGGTGATCCAAAAGCTTGTAAAATTGTAGGACAAGTGGGTTTCTTCAAAATGACAAATGACTTCAATGATATCACTGCTTGCAATCAGGAAAATAGTTGATATTTTAGGCAACGTAAACACAAGCTCCACTGCTTAACATTTTTATTGCTGTTGCAAGATCGTTGCATTATCCCGGGATGCAAAGAGAACAAATTTCAACTTTTTCGGGTTCCGAAGTCGGGGAGCAACCCATTTGCGCAGTGGAGAAAGGTTGCCACTGTTTACGGAACAGAGAATGAGCGAATATGCTCCATCATTTGGTTGAAGCAGACTTTGTTGAATATAATTTCCAAAGTTTGTTGTCGTGGGGTAATTTGAGATTAATTGCAAGTGGCCGCTCCCCGGGATGGGAACTTTGCAGCACAAACCCATTGTACTGGTGTAGCCCATGTACACAATATGCTGGGTCTCTAAAACCACTAGTCCTTTCCGCTAGTATAGGTCGCACGGAGTCCCAACATAATCCAGTATATCCAGTAGACTGATGCAAAATTTGAAATTTTCGCTCCACAGTGCTCAAACGGTTCCACATTGGGTCCTGATTAGCCTCCCAAAATGTTAACTCCTTTAGTAAGAACCTGACTTGGCACAAACCATTTGAAGTTTATATGGAAATTACTATAGGGTAACCATAATTTCGGTTCATATTCATCTCAAAATTAACCAGTTCACTCTTATTTAGATAATGATAGCTGAGCTTGTTGAAAATTTTCTCAGCTACAATTTTGTTAAAGACCACGTTTTGATCAAATGTAAGGAACAAAAATTATTAATGATTCAAATAACATCACCGACAAACCGACATTGACTTCTCGACGCAAGATCTCACTAACACAACCTTGCTAGTATAGCCCTGAGTACTGCGAACTAACTTAAAATACTTGTCATCTGGGAGCCAAGTCAAACTGTCAAACGGGAGCCAAACATACAAAAGGGCTCAGAAGTCACGTAGGTAGTTACTGTTTGAGCCACAAGTAAAGGTGTTGCCACCTACTGAAAACAAATTAAGAATTATAATTATGAAAATGTCGAAACTTCAACCTTAGTAGGCGGATAATGTAAATGATCGAGCGTGATGCCCGAAAAAGTGTATTCATTAGATATTAATAATGCCAAAACTGGGTTGTTGAAATAATAATATAATCAAACTTTATAAGAGTCATGTGAGCTTTGTGGGCAGGTGCACTCCCATGGTGATACGTTATTTCTGGAGCAGAGGAGGAGGAGCCAAGAGTTCATTTGACAGCATGTATATACAATTTCGTGAGCATTTTCAGCAAAACAAGTTGAAACTTCGGAAGATTTTCAAGATGTTTTCTAGCTCACTTGAAAAATAAAATCGGCTGAGTGTCAAAGTGTTCGACTTGACAGCAGTTTGTGTTTTTTTTATTTTCAACCAGTAAAACGCATGTATTAGTGAAACTGCTCACTATTACTAACGGTGGTAGAGAACTCTATGAATGACCATATTGTCGCGCTTATGTTAAATTCTCATTTGGTGACGGTCGAAGCGCGATGCAACCCGCCCATAAGGATTATACACAGTTGTGTAACTTTGATAATATTTTATGGCAGCGGCTTGAGGAGCGAATCCTGGATAAAGAGCCGCCGTGTGTTAAATCATTGGGCGCAGTCGTACGGCCATAAACAGCAAACAGATGGTATAATCCCTTTTTGAGAAATTATCCTGCCACACACAATAGCAAAAACAATAAAATATCTGACCAAAGCACACTACTGACATCTGGCTCCGTGTTCACGGGAAATGTTTAGCTAAGCCATGAACCCGCTTGCAAAAGTTATGAATTGGTTCGTGTCTGATCTATTCTGGAGAAATTATTTTTATCTAGATAAAAATATCCTATGGTTTTGACAGTTCGGATCACTGCACATTTAAATTTAAACTGCACAATCGGAGAAGGTCGAATCAAAAATTCAATTCACTTTTAGCTATTTGGCCTGAAACTGCTCAGGCTGAAATTCTACACAATTTTGAGTTAGTCTCAGGTGATAAGGTGATAAGTTCAATTCATACTTTACTCACCGACAAACCGACATGACACTTAATTCTGACTTATGCCCGAAAATCGTAAACGGTCGATTTAAATGTTCAGTGATCCGAACTGTCAAAACCATGGGATTTTTTGATCTAAATAAAAATAATTTGTCCAGATTAGATCAGACACGAACCAATTTTTAACTTTTGCATGCGGGTTCATGCCTTAGCTAAACATTTCCTGCGAACTCGGAGCCAGATGTCATTAGTGTGCTATGGTCAGAAATTTTATTGTTTTTGCTATGGTCATTCATGTCGGTTTGTCGGTGCTTTACTAAGAGAAATGTAAAAGAAACTCGAGGAACTTCTAGAAGAAGTTCAAGGAACTTCCAAGAGAACTTCGAGGAACTTCCAGGAGAAGTTCATGGAACTTCCAGAAGAAGTTCTTGATACTTCCAGGAGAAGTTCGTGGAACTTCCAGGAGAACTTCGAGGAACTTCCAGGAGACCTTCGAGCAACTTCCAAGAGAAGTTCGAGGAACTTCTACACACTTAATTTTTTTCGCCGAGATTCCAACAGCCGAGTAGTTTTGCAATTTAGTTTGCTGAGGTTCAGTAAAATAATTGCCGAGACACAGCTAACAAATATCATTTTGCTGCGATATCAGCTAACAAACATATATTTTGCAGGTATATCAGCAAAAGTAAATGCCGAGGTAATCGGCTGTTGGAGATTTTACCGTGCCAGATTAAGTGTGTAGGAGAAGTTCGAGGAACTTCTAGGAGAAGTTCTTGGTACTTCCAGGAGAAGTTCGTGGAACTTCCAGGAGAACTTCGAGGAACTTCCAGGAGACCTTCGAGGAACTTCCAAGAGAAGTTCAAGGAACTTCCAAGAGAACTTCGAGGAACTTCCAAGAGAAGTTCGAGGAACTTCTAGGAGAAGTTCGAGGAAATTCTAGAAAAAGTTCGAGGAACTTCTAGGAGGAGTTCAAGGAACTTCCAGGAGAAGTTCATGGAACTTCCAGGAGAAGTTCATGGAACTTCCAGGAGAAGTTCTTGGTACTTCCAGGAGAAGTTCGTGGAACTTCCAGGAGAAATTCGTGGAACTTCCAGGAGAAGTTTGAGGAACTTCTAGGATAAGTTCGAGGAACTTCTAGAAGAAGTTCGAGGAACTTCCAGGAGAAGTTCGGGGAACTTTTAGAAGAAATTCAAGGAACTTCTAGAAGAAAATCGAAGAATTTCGAGTTCAAGGGACTTCAAGACAGGAGAAGTACAGGAAACTTCCATGAGAGGTTCAGGAAACTTCCAAGATAAATTCAGCAATCTTCCATGAGCAGTTTAGGAAACATCTCGGAGAAATTCAGGGAACATCCAGGAGAAGTTCAGAGGGCTCCAAGAGATATTTAGGAAAGCTTCCAGAAAATAAAGAATGAACCCCATGGTTCTCAACAACCAATTGATCCTCAGTTGTTGACGAATCCTGTCCGTCCTCTTATTTGTTCAGAGCAAGTGATAAGGAGCAATTCGAGCATTATTTTTTACTAACTGGCCTTGAAAAACAAAACAAAAATAAACACGAAACTCGACTGAGCAATGAGTCTAGATTAAGTTATCAAAATGAAACCCGACGTGAACCTTTCTACATACTTCCAAGTTTCCGTTGGCAGTAATAAATTGACCAGATTTGTATAAGAAATCATGACGGTCGGCTCGAAAAGGGTCAACCGACCGACAAACAGGCCTATACATTCCAATACATACAAGCAAACAACCGCAAAAACCACACTCTGCCAGGATTCCCTAGATAGATGCAAGGGACGAATGAAACCCTATTTAAGCATCTCACTAGGGCACCAACAGCAGCAGCGAGAATATGCAACGCTCGGTGGCAGAAGCGGCAGGTAAATAGCTTAGCGCCATAAACCACTAAACAGAGCATACAAAAGCGAAGTGAATGGGAAGCCCCCATGACTGTGCTCGACATAACTACTAGGTGGGGAGCAGCACGTTGCTGGTTGTTATTTAGCATAGATGATGATGCATTTTCCCTTCGCTTTCCCCGTACTTTTATTTTTTATTTTTTGCACACAAGCGCATATTGCATAAAAGGGTTTGTGCCCTTTTCCTTTGAGCGCGGCCGAGCTTAGGGCCTAGCTCATTATGTTCAACCAGGAACACGGAACGACGACAAAGACACGGAGATGAAGACGGATGACAATCGAACGGGGCAAAATATTGATTTAATAACCCACTTTACCTGGCTTGTTGACTGACTGGCTTCTCGGCTGCTCTCCCTCGTTGTTGGGGTTGATGTTTTGATGAAAATTTAATTCCTCCGCAAAAAGAAACTTGTCCCGTCGTATTCGGCTGCCTCGTCTCTTTAAACGCAATCCTTCCCGACACGATTATTTATGAATGCTTGCTTTCTTTTACTTTCCTCCGGTTCTGCTTGACTGTCTTTTTCGTCAAGTTTTTTTTTTTCTGGGACAAATCTTTCACATCTTCTTCAGCAGCTGCTTCTTTTCTTCCACCAGACTCTCGTTGAATAATTCACCGTCACTTCTTGGGCCTGGATTCGCACTTCAAGCTCACTATTTTTCCTATTGGAGCCGCACCTCCAATATTTGCCTTTCTTCCCCTTTAGGTTCCGAACCATAAACACTCCGCAATTACGACGTCGAATGCATTCGAATGGAAAGGCCGTGTCTTGCCTATGCTTCTTTCTTTTCGCGACTGTTTTCTGCTGATGATGCAAAAGAAGACGGCCCGAAAATTTTCCACTGGGGCTGCTGTGCTCGCTTTCACTGCTGCACTGCGGCGATTCAAGTACGTTCCGTGCGGGACAAACAACCCATGAATTCCACAGTGGACGGAACTAAGGAACCGACACGTAATAGCGGACCTCCCGAAAACGCGTAACCCGTGTCTGTGACCCCGCGACGACGACCGACGGTGACAACGAAGGAATCGAAGTCTCTCTCTAGCCAATGAAACCTACACACTCGATGTGGTGCGGAGACCGTCGTACAATAATTTTCTGTCCACTGCCAGAGTGGTTGCTGAAGAGGTGCGCGGGGAACAAAATGTGAGCGCGTGGTGCAGGAGCTGCTGCTGCAGTATATCTACCATTGGGGAACGGGCGGACGGACGGCACCGGAGAGACACCACGGTATAACACACATAACAAATACAGCAAAACCAATCTTTACTCGCACGAGAACGGACTAGGTCTCGTACAGCAACATGAAAAAATAATACGCGATGGACGACGATGGGAAAGAAGGGCCCCCCCAAAATGCGATACGATGATGGTATGCGTGAGAGCACTGCTGCTGCTTCCCAAAATAAACATAAAAAACGTAAACAACGGCTCGCGTTGCGGAGCGACGACGGCGAGCATCGAGAGACTCGCCGAGAGAGCGAACCGAGAGAGAAACTGTCAAAATGTGAACTTCGAGTTGTGACAGGTGCATTTTTAGTACAAGAAAAACAGGGTAATCAAACATTAAAATTTAAATTTTACACGCTGAGAACAGAAACCCCAAATTTACGGAGACGATTTACACACTAGAGCACAGCTGAAAATTGAAGACGTTTTTACGTGCTACGGGATATATTGCTGATTGCATCTGAAATTGGACTGCCCCAAAAATGCAAAAAGTGTGATAGAAGTGCACATTTCCGTCAAATCGTTTTGATGTCTTCGGAGCACTTATTGCTTGCATCATAAGAAATAAGTGCACCCAAGACACCAAGACGATTAGACGGAAGCTCGCACTTTAATCACACTTTTTAATAAGTGAAAACGCGCTTATTAGTCCAGTTTGGTGTGAAATGCGCAATAACACATAAATAAATAATAATAAATATAACACTAAAGCATTTCTTGACCTAGGATGTAGTTCAAAAGAAATCGGTAAAGGAAAGATCCATTACGTTAGTATCGTGAACGACATGAAGGTGGCACATTCCGAATGAAATTTCATTTTCCTTGCGGAATAATTCAGGCATAACATTTGATAACGGCACAAAAGCATTTGTTAACAAACTTTCCAAGGCCCTTTACACGCGAACCAAAGTACGCCCACGCAAACCAACAACATCATCGGATAGGGGCAACTATCACCTTTCCGAAAGTGGTATTGGTTTGCGTGGGCGCACTTTGGTTCGCGTGTAAAGGGCCTTAGAAAGTTTGTTTACAAATGCTTTTGTGCCGTTATCAAATGTTATGCCTGTAATGATCTGATCAATTATTGCGTTACACGCTTATTCTGGTCAACTCAAAATTGAGTCGAATGTACTCATCTCAGCGGCAAGTATGGCTACTCAAAATTGAGTAACCTTATGTTGACTCACTTTTGAGTAAACTACGTTCGCACGTAAATTGAGTCAAATCCACTCGCCGGTATTTTCAGTTGCAGGGAGGGTTTTTATTTTGGTTTTCATTCAAGGAAATGGAAATTGCCTGCTCCGGATTCCTTCTACCGGAGCAAAAAACGGTTCAACACCGTTTCCCTAAGCAATTCGTACTTACCTGAAGGCATTCCAGCCGGTTTTGAGTAACATTTTCTATGAGCTTTCCTCCGACATGACTGGCATTTTTTCTAAGTCCAGGATTTTGCTGACTGAGTGGCTTTTACTCAGTTTGACATTTCTCGTTTACTCAATTTTTGACAACTCGATACATCGGACGAAAGTGAGTACGATCGACTCACCTGGTGAGTAAGCAGAAGTTAGCGTGTAGGTAATTTTGACGTTTGCTGCAAAACTGTTGTTTTGGATGCATATTAACAACATCAAAACAAATTATTGTTAGGAGGGAATCAACTGAGAAAGAGTAAAACAATTTTAATCTTGAGAAATTTTTCAGGCAGTTTTCCATTGGCTTGCAAAATAAAATCGATCAACGCCGCAGTACCCTCGGCTAGGGGTAAGACAACTGTACTCAGAGTTAATTTATTTGCAGAGAGTAAATTTGAGATACTCATATTTACTCAAAAACAAACAAAGTATGTAGTCTAATATTTTTCATCAAATAGTGTTCAAACAATCCCCGTCTGACAGAATGTTTTGATTTCAAGATTTAGATTTAGTTTTCATTCATTAAAAGATCCAAATTAGATGGCTCTTTTCCAGGCCAGGGGATGTTTAGGTCTCTTTTCCTTTCTAGGATGGATGGCTAAAGTTTAATGTCTTTGAAGTTTTTGGTGATGTGGTGGTGTTAGTGTTTCCATATCCCAGCCATTTCTGATTACCTTGGAATCTTAAAATAGGTGAAAACTCTTCCCGGGAATCGGGAAATATTTTCGGTAGTTATTTATTAAAACTAGACCTCGTCAGGATTTCCCTCGGAAGATTTTTCCGACAATTTCTGGAAGTTTCTTCCAACTTTCCCTTGAAGATTTCGATCAGCTTCTTCGGAAGGATACTTATGATTTCTCTGGGAGGTTTCGTCTGACTTTGCACGAAAGTTTCTTCCAACATCTCCTGGAAGTTTTTTTTAAACTTGCCCTGAAAGAATCTTCCACCTTCTCCCGCAAATTTCGTCCATTGTTCAACGGAAGTTTCATCATCTTTTCATTCCAACAGTATCAGATTACAATCAGAAGTCCTACCGCTAGAAGTGGAAACTATTTCCCATTTCATCCGGACTTCCCACGGAAAACTTTTCTGAATTATTCTGAAAGTTTTATCCGGCTGCCTAAATTTGCATGGAAGTCTACCGGTTTCGTTTGAAAGATTCTTCGCCAGAAAGCTTTCCTGACTTCGCACTAAAAATTCGTCAAACTTTCTCCGGAAATTTCAATCAATTTTCCCCAAAAGTTGTGTGGTCATTTTAAATATAACATATGTTTAAGATGGTTTTCGTACAAAAAAACTGCTTCTCGGGATGTCAAACTAGTTTTCTGGGAATCGGGAAATGATAATTCTGGCAAATTGCCTGGGCAGGAAACACTAGATGGTGTGATTTCAAGACTAAGGAAGTAAGAATTTAGCGAAATGTTTTCAGAAGATGAATTTATCTCATGAAAATTAATACTCAATGCCACAAAATCGTTCAAAGAGGTTTCATATTTTGTTGCAATGTCAGAGTTAGGGTCAACTCTCTCCAGAAGCGTTCGTTGTTTTTCCTGATACTCCTGCAAAAAAACATCAATAGACACTAGTTGCAAAAGGTTCAATAGGAACAGGTTGAATTTTCATCGTCTACCCGAGCAAAGTCGGTTAACAAAATGGAAGCAAATCGATATTAAAGTTTGCAGTTCCTGTCATAATGAAAACTCATTTTGATTTCAATTGTCGCGACAGAAGTCTGATATCACATTGTGCTTTCATTATGCAGTCAAGACTTTTTAAATCAAAGCAACTTAACTTGAAGTTCTGCTGTTAATTTCTTGTTTAAAATTTGATTTAAGTGCATCTGTCGTTGAACTAACGATTATTGTTTATTTGTTTTGTTTAACACATTTTAGGTCATTCGTGACTAGCCCGAGGTGACATTTGAGCTCAAATCTTTCAGCGTGAGAAGCATGGATGCTAACCATTTACCACAGGCCCGTATTCAGTCAAACATTATGAATGCAAAATCAGTAATCAAATTGATTTCATTGAAAGCAGAATTAGTTTTCCGTTTGATTCAACAGTGTAAAATATTGCTCTCATTTTTGCTGTGTTAACCGTTAAGTCAACAAAAATGAGATCAGATGGAGTATTCAAAATAAATTACATCATAACAGCAAATTCTGATTTCAATTTGATCTCTAACTTTGCTCGGGTAGTGTTGTTGTGTTGATCGATATTTAGCACAAAAGGAGCATTGTTGAATGCGGTTTTTTATTTAACTGTTCATCCCAGGTAAAAATAGGTCAATTCTGGCCAACTTCATAGTTGATTCTATTCTGAAACTAACATGAAGTTTGTCAATGAGCGATCGTCGAAGGGATGTAGGAACCACCACATACCATTTTTTCATACTGGGATTGTCCAGAATCTACCTTTGGGTTGACTGGATTATTTGGAATCCCCCCTGGACAGTAATGAATCCCCCTCAATATTGAGTGAAATTCTCACTGTGTTACTGTGTCCGGAATCCTCCCTGGGATAGTTCATATTCCTTCTAAGGATTTTCCGAAGTTACCTTTGATATTTTTGGGAAACCTAACTGGGATTGTCCGAAATTCCCCTAGGCTTGTTCGGAATCTCTACTGAGACTGCCATAAATCCCCTTTGCGATTGACTGGAACCCTCCTAAAGATTGTACAAAATCCAACAGTAAAGCAAGACAGCTCTGACTGTTCCGTAAGGTCACCATAAAAATCTTCCATCGATTTTGAGGAGGCAGCTTGTAGTTCCTTTCATACACGTGCAATTGCCCTTTCATTGCTGAAAGATCTTCCCAGTAAAGCATTGCAAGCGCACCGTTGTTGCTTTGCTTTGCTTGACAGTATCGGTTGCTATGTGTATTTTATGTTGAGCAACGCGAGTTACTCAGAGTTACTCAAAATTAACTCCGGTTTTACTCATGATCAAAAGCTGTCTTGCCCCAAGACCCTCGGCAATACCCAGGAGAAAACAACTATTTTGAATGGTAATGGTTCTTAACAAACCATTTTTCACTTCTAAAAAATGGTAATGGTTCTTAACAAACCATTTTTCACTTCTAAAAAACCACAACACATAAGGTTAAAACTTTATCACACAAACGTTCATGTTAAGTTCCATAAACATTTGAGTTAAAGTGTAGCAGGGGTTATAAACAATTTTTAACCATTTCTGGTAAGATCAAGTAATGGTTCGCAATTATGCGGGTTTGCATCGCAAGCTTTTAGGTAAGGCCAGGATAAACGAGATCCGCGATGCGACGCGACCAATTCAAAAGAATCTTATTATTTATTATTATTTCTTGCGTGAGTCGCGTCTACTCTGGCCGTGGCCTTTCTCTCGTATAGCGCGAAGCTGCATGAAGCCAGTGCACATCGTATTTCGCTCGTTTCTCAGTTTTTTGTTTCTGCTTGTTTCGACATTCGGATAACTCGTGTTTTGGGTCGTATCATACTGCTTCTAAAGCTTGGTGCGCAGCTGAAAAGAAAACGGAAAAGTATTTTTTGAGGAATATTCCCAAAATTAAATTTGACAGCTATAGGGAGGTGTCTTTTGCTAAATTTTGAGATCAAAAGGGGGGTGTCGTCTAATTTTAAAATCAACAATTATCAGTTTTTATGTTGTTAAAATGCATCCACATCATTTTTACAACAAACGTTAAAATTACCTAACGGAATAATTGATCAGACCATTATTCCGCAATGTAAATGATATTGCATTCAGAATGCGCCTCCTTCATGTTTACCGATTTCTTTTGAACTGCGGACTTGGTCAAGAAATGCTAAGGAAAAGTAATTTCTTTAGCATTCTGTGTCCTATCGCGTAGCACGTAAAAACGTCATTACTTTTCAGCTGCGTACCAGGCTTAAAGGGGTAAGGTAGCACAACCGGGGGTTGGGGGGTAATCAAAAATCATATTTTTGTGTTACATACTACACTCAAAAAATTCCACACGCAATCATCATGTGTCTCACACTTAATTTTGCGCTTATTGTGAAACACATCCATTTCATGTGTGAATCTTATGCTATGAACCATGCCTGAACACTATGGATTTGAATTGTGACATACTTGGATTCTGTGTGTCTCATATGGTGATATCAATAGCTTTGCACACCATAGTTCAATATTCTACAATATTCTACTTAATCGACTTCTACTTTACCGACTCTTAAAATTGAAACGACAAATATATAATCAAAACTGCCAGAGGCCAGAGCTTTCACATATCTTTTTAATGGGTCTGATTTGGGATTCGAACATGGACTGTTGGGGTGTGCTGCTGCCGGAGTCTTCGTTCTATCTCACTGTGCCAGGGTTGTTCTCATATATGAGGCGGGTTAATAGGATAAAGTGACAACTCTTGTTTTAGATGTTTACCTTTCTGAGCAAGCAATTCACATCGTATTGAAATGCAAAACACTTTAAATCCATCTGTTTTGAACAGTAGCGTGATTCAATGTGCAATACGCTTAAATAGAAAGTGAAATTTTTTCAACATTTCAAAGTTTGAAACACTCTAAATTAACGTGTATAACACATCGAACCAAGCCCTAATAAACAAATACCATAAACGAATTATATCCCGGATGGGCAAACTATCCCACAAATGGTTTGGATGATACCCCGAACACGTCGATAAGCTCTCTTTTATGGTTATTTTTATTAAGGAGGTGAAATACACTTAAAGTAAAAATGTGATTCTGCATTTATAAAATCAAGTGTTTAAACACTTCGATCAAACGTGTGAAATTTTTTGAGTGTATTTAAACGGGCCCATTTGATGCTAGTATGTACTAAATCAAGCAAAACTTTTCAAAAGGACGTATGTAACATTGGATAGGAAATTGGAAACATTGGATAGCAATGTCTATATGAGATTATTAAATGCTATTTAAAAGTTAATGCTATTTTTTTAAATCTGTTTGTGCTATTAGTTGGATAAAGCGATTGCGTTTAAGAGAATTGTGAAAAATTTCGAGTTTTGCAAACACGGACAATACTTTTGATAAAACAAAATCATACACCTTTTACTTGTGTACTACTCACATACACCCTGATTGATTCGTCGGTATCACACCATGATTGTTACATACACCCTGCATGATTCGTCTATTTGACAGAAGGGCTTTCACATACGTCAAATCAGATACACCGGTTTTTGTTTTGCAGTGAAGATACGTAGGCAGCTCGAAAAGCATTGAGGAATTGTCGGTTGGTTGGTTTACTTACATAACTAACCAGAGTTGTGAAATAATCGATGTTAAAAGCGGAGATGAGAGGGTCACCGCATTATCTGCTGTCAGATGTTATACGTTTTGTGCTTTTCGTATTAAGAAAGCGCTGGTCAGATTGGTATGTGAAGTTCAATATTAAGTCAATATTAAAGTGCAATTTTATTAGAATACTTTTGAAATAATAAACATGTTGCTCCCGGAAAAACAAAAACAAACATACAAACTTGACGCATTTGCTGATTGATAGTGGTTGCTTTGTTTTTTTCACATACGACGCTTCACTGTGAGCGTATCTGCAGTTTTTGTGTTATCATCAAATTTTAACAGTTAAGTCATGTTGGCAATAAAAAGGTGTTTCAACACCATTTTAAAAACAATGAAAGAAGGTCACATAGGGCGTTATTACATATATTTTCCATAATGCATTACAATTTCAAACCTTGTTTTTTATTAACTCGTAGGAAAAGCATGTATTTTATATTCGGTTAGATGCAAAATATCAATTTGTTTATTTTTGCGACTTACGTTCTTTTGAAAAGTTATGCTTGAAATATTTAGCACAACTTGCATGCAACATTCCCGAATGCAAATATAACCATTTCCAATTTGCAGTGTATCACTTTACTGTCATGCGAAATATTTTGACCTCGATTTTGACGTTTCACTCGACGAAACTACGAGTTTTCCATCGGATTCGGCAAGAGCGATAAATTAATCGGATCTATCCCGACGGTTTTCTATCAGTAAAATGAGTCTAATCCTCAGATCCTTGTCCCGTGCGGCTGCCGCTCAGTGGTAAGTAGGATTCATACTCGATTAACAGTCTAAAGCTGCATAAAATACGCGAATTTGCGACTATCAATCGCTGGTAGATATGTGACTGATTGTGTAATCATGGTTTGTGTTGTTGCAGGACGAAGGCATCGTTTTCCACCTCGTCGGTCGTGCTGAAGGACCCCCGGCAGCAGAAGGAAGCCCCCATGGTCGATGCCAATCTGGTCATCGCCGACGACGTTGAGCGTCTCGAACGGGAAAAGCAAGCCATCACCATTGCCGTGCCCACGAAGGTTTGTTTGGATTCTGTTTTTAAGGGGGAGTGCAGCAGCTGATCTGTACGAGTGTCTTGAATTATAGGTCGACTTGAGCCCGATTTCCGGCATCCCGGAGGAGCATATTAAGGAACGACGCGTGCGAATCTTCATGCCAGCAAAGAATGCCATGCAAAGCGGAACCAACAACCAGCACCACTGGAACATTGAGTTCGATAACCGTGAGCGCTGGGATAATCCCCTGATGGGATGGTCATCGAGGTCAGTTGCTGCCATGTTAATGCTTTCGGATCGGTTCGTGTTATTTTGATTTTGCATTTGTAGCGGTGATCCCCTGTCGAATATGATCGTGGAGTTTGGCTCGGCCGAGGAGGCCATCAATCACTGCGAACGGAACGGATGGAGATGGTTCGTGGATAATCCACAGGTTAACAAGAAGCAACGCGTCAAGAACTACGGAATTAATTTCTCGTGGAACAAGCGCACCCGTACGTCCACCAAGTAAGTTCCTCGCGATAAAAAAAAAACAGATTACTTCGTGCGTTAGATTGTTTGTGTAAATACCAAATCGGAATACCTGTATCGATCCCTGCCGGGAGTGGATAAATGGATCATTGAAGAAGGTAGAATCGCTGATTTGTTTGTTCTTTCGAAAGAAGGCCTCAACTCGGAACATTGGTTCTAACATACTTTATTCTCTTGTGTTTTTAATTTTACTTAACAAAGAAAGTTAACGTTCAAAAAGAAAATTGCTTTTGTACAGTCTGAGATATTATATTACTTAAGTTACAAACGTTAAAATGGAGGATTCGTTGGACGGTTTTCTTTTCGTAGGAAAAAGGCACAAAGTTAATCCGTGGACGACATCTCTGTTGTTCGCATGCTAGTTGCTGTGCTGCTCACTGTGGTAGGTTTGATCCATTTGCAACTGCTCCACTTGAAGTTGCTTCCGGATGGCGCCCAGTTGGGTTAGGACCCGGGGCGATCGGGGTGTAACCATGGTACGTTGTACGGCGGGAATCTGCGGAAAGCCGAGATGGATGGTCGGTTATCTGCGTGCTGTATGTACCTTAGAAGTTGTTCATGTACACTAGCTCTCTTACGGGAAATCAATGCGGTGCAGCTTAAAAACAATACGGTGGCATGCTAAGCGTTTAAGTTTTGTTCTGATATGTGGGTTAGGGTGGGTCAACTTTACAACTCCCTGTGCCCCATTACTATTTAGATGTGTATTACAGTCCCTAACATCTGTGCCAAATTTGAATACATATTGCTCAATAATGCAGAACAATTTTGTCGGTGACCGCAAGTCGGTTCGAGTTTTGTGCAAAAAGTTATAAATCGTTTAGCATTCAATATTTAGTGGGATACCCTAAGCACAAGCCAGCTTATATCATATACGCAAGGTAAGTGCACGTGGCTTACTACGTCATTAGTAAATGCTTATTAACTTTTTGCACAGATATCGAATCGATTTGCGGTTTTCGACAAAGTTCCATCGATTTTTCCAAACTAACTTAAAAATTGTCCAAAATGGTTTGAATTTGGCGTAGTTGTCGAGGGTCTCAATGCAAATCGAAAGCGCAGTGCGGATCAGGGAGTTGTAATCCGCCTATTGTGGGTAGTGGGGATTGCCAATTACACTTACCATAGAAAATTTCTTTTACAGAAAATTCAGCTGCGAAAGAAATTAATCAAAGCTTATCAACCTGATCAGATAAAATATACCTCCACCTCGTCAAAAGGATTATGTTAAATTTAAAACGTTAAATGAAGATTCGCACCACCATAAAAACGTAGCAGACCCATACGAAATATGGCAACCAAGCAAACATGGACAGAATAATTATACGCCAAATCGATCATTAATGATTGCGTTTACGACCTTTTTTCGAGAGCCGATTAACGTGAAATATTTTCCCGAGTAGGATAGGATAGCTTAGAATGTTGAAAATGTTGGCACTACAGAGTTTTAAGCAGGGCTGTGGAGTCGGATGAAAATAACTCGACTTCGACTTTTCTGATTGAACTTTACCGACTTCGACTCTTCGACTCACAAACTACAATTATTGTAAAACATTTCAGAAGAAAAGTTAAAAGTCTATTGAAATTTGAAATTCTTGGGAAATATTTTGGAAATTTATCGATTGTTTTTAGAAGATATTACAGACATATTTAAAAGAAATTTTTGTTTACTGATTTACATACTTGCTGCATGACAACAAATTGATGCAATTAAATTGCAAACAAATCCAGTAATCTATCCTACGTGATGAGATATTTTAATAAATACACAGGGAAAAAGATCACAAATTGTCGACAAAATGAAACTGTTGAAACTTAATTTATTTTATATCTAAATTCAGAAAATTGTTTCAACTTCAAGATTTCGAATGTTTTCTTAATCTCAGAGCTTGGAATATTCTGAGGGGCTACCCATACACTCTTCCTTTCCCCATATGGAATATCATCCAAATATGTTATAACTTGAACACTACCCTCCCCCTCTTTAACATATCCACCGGATTATGTAGTTTTTTTTTTCTTCAAAATAACAGAATCCAAATTACCCCAATGCCACTAACCGAAAGCAATAGACCTAAATTGTTTATTAGATTGAAACGTGGAAAGAGATGACCGACCCAGTTCCTAGCCCCACAAATACTACTGCCGCAGTTGCAGTTAAACTTCCTGCATTTTTGGAAAAATGACCCAGTGATGTGGCTTGCGCAAGCCGAGGCTGGAGTATAGTCGCTATATTCATAGTCTGGCGGATAGAATTTCGATCTATCAAAAAGTGGAACCAAAGCAATCTATTTTAGACCAACAATTGAAAAGGTACTATCAACTTTTATAAACAAAATGTTGATTATTCTTTCCAATCGAACGCAAATTACCGGCATCATCAGATAGGGGAAACTTTCCTCAACCCAAAGATGGTGTTAGTTTGCGTAGGCGAGCCTTGAGTCGCGAGAAAAGGGTTTCCGAAGTATTGTTCGCAATAGCTGATGTGCTCTTTTCTGTGGTTGGTCGTGATTTGCTCGATTGGTTCCACTATTTGTCAGCTCAATGGTTCCCGAGATTCTATCCGCCAGACTATGAATATAGCGGCTATAGGCTGGAGTGGTCAGAGATGGTACCAAGTAAAGAGACTGAATTGGGTTTCTTTCTTGGGAGGAATGGAGCAAAGTAAAATAGCGTCTAGTCCGTAAGAGCGACGACAAAGGAAGAACGAATTTTATTCAAATAACTCATGGCTAATTTATTTATTTATTTAAGTGTCCTGAGCGCCATCCCTGGCGCAAAGGGCCAACGTGAAAGATCTCCATCCTGGGCGATTGTTTGCTTTCGCCTTGACCTGGGCCCAGGTCAAATTCCGGTCGACTTGCTTAATCTCCTTGTTTAGGCTTCGCCGCCATGAGCCCCTGGGTCTGCCTCTGCTGCGATGTCCGGCTGGATTCCAATCCAGCGCTTGTTTGCAGATTTCATTTCCGCTCTTCCGTAGAGTGTGGCCAACCCACCTCCACTTACGTTCCCGAATTTCTGTCGATATCGGCTTCTGGTGACACCGTCGATGGAGCTCGGCATTCGAAATCCAGTTGTGAGGCCACCAAGCACGAATTATATACCGCAGGCATCGGTTGATGAACACCTGCAGCTTCTGTGTGATCTCCGCTGATACGCACCATGTTTCGCTAGCGTACAGCAGTACAGATTTCACGTTAGAGTTGAAAATTCGGATCTTCGTGCGGAGACTAATCTGATTTGACTTCCAGATGTTTCGTAAACTCGCAAAAGCAGCCCTTGCCTTCTTGATCCGTGCACCTATGTCACTCTTGGTTCCGCCGTCCGACGCTATCTGGCTGCCAAGATATTGGAAACTTTCAACCTTCTCCACTTCCTGACCAGCTACCGTAAAATTGGATGGATTTCCCGTGTTGATATCCAACGATTTAGTCTTGCTGACGTTGATGTTGAGACCTGCCGCTGAGGAGCGTTCGGCGAGATCGTCGAGCTTACTCTGCATGTCAGAACGCCGTTGTGATACTAAAGCAACGTCATCCGCCAAATCTAGGTCGTTTAGATGCTCCATTGTAATAGGCTGCCAGAGCAACCCACGGTTCGGCACACGGTCGATCGCACCAACCATTATCTCGTCGATTACGATGAGGAACAGTAGCGGTGATAGAATACATCCTTGCCTCACTCCAGCGACTACCCGAATAGGGTCAGATAGGGCTCCGTTGTGCAGCACCCTGCACGTGAAAGCCTCATACTGAGCTTCGATGAGGTTGACGATTTTATCCGGAACTCCCTTGCGCCTTAAGGCGCCCCACAGGTTTTCGTGGTTGAGTCGGTCGAAAGCTTTTTCGTAGTCAATGAAAACCAAGTAAAGGGACTCTTGGAATTCGTTGACCTGCTCCAAGATTATGCGGAGCGAGACAATATGGTCCACACAGGATCTTCCAGCACGGAATCCCGCCTGCTGCCGTCGGAGAGTCGCGTCGATCTTCTCCTGTATCCGGTTGAGGATAACTTTGCATAGAACTTTGAGAACACAACACAGTAACATAATGCCACGCCAGTTATCGCATACAGTTGGGTCCCCCTTCTTTGGGACCTTCACTAAGACGCCCTGCATCCAGTCAGCCGGAAAAGTCGCGGTGTCCCAGATATTGCAGAATAGTTGATGCAACATTTGTGCAGATAGCATGGGGTCAGCTTTGAGCATCTCTGCTGATATGCGATCGACCCCGGGAGCCTTGTTGGATTTCATGGTTCGGATAGCAGCTTCGATCTCCGGTAGGGATGGCGCCTCAGAATTGACGCGAGTGATGCGTCGCACTCTTGGCGGTTCATGCCGAGATGTTGATGGCTGGTTGACCGACGAAACTTGTAGAAGCTGTTCGAAGTGTTCAAACCAGCGTTTCAGCTGATCAGTGGGGTCGGTGAGCAACTGACCAGTCGCGTCCTTCACTGGCATCCTAGGATTCATCCTTGCTCCACTCAGGCGTCGTGAGATATCGTAGAGGAGACGGATATCGCCTGTTGCTGCGGCTTTCTCACCTTCATCGGCTAGGGAGTCCACCCACGCTCGCTTATCCCGCCTACACGAGCGCTTCACTTCCTTCTCGAGAGCCGAATACAGTTGGCGGGCCTGGTTCTTCGCTTCTCTGGTTCTCGCCCGCTCTATCGCGGCTTTTGCATTTCTCCGCTCCTCTATCTTCCTCCAGGTGTCATCCGTGATCCACTCCTTTCTCTGAGCGCGCAGCTCGCCCAGGTTGTTTTCACTCGTTTCAGTAAAGGCATCCTTGATCGCCGTCCATTGCTCTTCTACGCTGCCACCATCAGGAATATCCGCAGCTCTGGTCTCCAGTTCCTCGACGAATGACCTTTTTACTGCTGGATCTTCCAATCGGCGTGTGTTGAATCGCCGTCCGAGCCGCTCCTCCCGCCGCTGGACCCGCGCGATACGAAGGCGGATCTCTCCAACGAGGAGATGGTGGTCAGACGCGATGTCGGCACTGCGTTTGTTCCGAACGTCAAGAAGGCTCCTTCTCCATTTTCGGCTGATGCAGATGTGGTCGATTTGATTTTCGGTATGTCCATCACGGGAAACCCACGTGACTTTGTGCACTGGTCGATGGGGGAAGAGCGAACCCCCGATCACCATGTCGTTATTGCCACAAAACTCTGCCAACAGCTCACCGTTTTCGCTCATTTCGCCAAGACCATGGCGCCCCATGACACGCTCATAATCCGTGTTGTCGGAGCCGATCTTCGCATTGAAGTCGCCGATGTAGATCTTGATGTCACCTCTCGGAATTTTATCCACGACTGCATTCAGTTGACTGTAAAAGTTCTCTTTGTCCTCATGGCTAACTTAGACGTATATTATTTCTACTCTGCATCTCTTCACGTTGCTAAATGCACCGCTTCACTCCTCCTCAACGTCGAAGAACTTCAGACCGATCATGGTACGGAACTTCTCCAGCTTAACTCTCGCCAAAAGCTTCGTGA